TTTTATGATATTTCTGAAAAGAAAATAAAGTCTTCTTTCGATGTGATAATCAGTTTTTATAAAATTTATGATGGGTATATTTTACGACTATTATCAAAATATTTTTTGTTGAAGATAACCATTACTTAAAATGAGGAAAGTAATAATCGAGTAAAAATCGGGTAATCGCTTTTCTTAGAAACGGAATGATATTTTTCTGTGTGTGCTCTCTTTAATAAAAAAATTTCCAAAAATCCGTCGTTCCGGGTGTTATTTCCACTTTGCGTCAATCGCTCTTTACCGCTCGTGCACAAGTTTGCTGAAATTAATGGACGCGATTTTTGCCGGAGAGGTTCCTTGTTGCTATACACTAGTTGGAAAAAATCGCTGCGAATTGTTGAGTATGTATGTATGTGCGCGCGCGTTTTTTCCTCGTTTTTCCCTTTTTCATAACATCGACTCGCTCGAGCGCCGGGATTAAATCGTTTGATGCGAAATGTGCTGAGGCAGCCATGTGAATAGAACGGTGCGTTGAACGGATGTTCCGGTTTATCAGTGCATACGGCGTGCCGTCGTGTTTCCATTTATTCTGTCGCCGGGCGAACTCGTGCCATTGGAGCGAGCGCTTGTCGAAGCCCAGAGAGAGAGAGAGAGAGAGAGAGAGAGAGAGAGTGTGAGAGGGAAAGAGAGAGAGAGAGAGAGAGAGAAGTCGTTAGACAATTTGAAGTAAGTTAACTCTTTACGAGACCGCGACGATGTCATTGCCACCCGAGAGAGCGAATTTTTCGACCAGATTCGAGCAGCGCATTCACGCCGAATGAACCGTCGACCGTGGCAATCGCGGCTCTCTAATCGCCGTTGGGCGACGAATTCTCGTTCGTTTAATTCGATGAATTATCGTCGACCTGTCGGAACGAGCGCGGCTTTAATTTCAAAGCCGTTCGAATCCCGGGCGTCCCGCCGCGGCCGATTCCTGTTCCGATAACAACTACGATTGACACTCTATTCCGATAACAATACGCATATATAATCGACGATAACTATTGAGGAAAGGGGGTGAATCATCGCGACGACTCAGAACGCCGAGAGTGAAACCCCGGACGCGACCGGTACTTTTTGCTCGAGAAAACGATTTGTCCTCGGAACGGTGAAGAAATGTTGCGAGTGTCGCGAGGAGGAATTTCAGAAATGCCGCGGGTATTTAAGTATTCCCGGCGTTCGTGGTGCGGGAGAGAGAGAGAGAGAGAGAGAGAGGAGGAAAAGGAGAAAAGGAGAGAAGGAAAGAGAGGGAGAGAGAGAAAGAGGAGGCTGCACGATACAAATGTTAGCGCGACATTAGCTGCCATGTCTCTATCTCTTTACACTTTTCCACGCGCACGAACACGAAATCGGTTAATCCGGACGCGCGCGCCGCCGATCGGCGCGGAATGGCGAGCGTTCCGGTTTGTCAGCGCGCGCGCGCGGTATGCCGCGGCTTGTTTCCATTAATTCCGCGTCGCGAGGCGAACTCGCGCCATCGGAATGCCCGCTGGGGTCGTCAGGGTTATAAAAGGCGAGGCGGAGCAACCTAATTTGCTACATTGTCGCGAACATACTCCGCGCGCGCGCGCGCTCGCCCGCGAAATATCGCCTGTAAATAAGTCCCCGTCGCCGGATCTGATAAGCCTAAATCCAATTAACCCTCATCACTTCGGCCGCGACGAGGCCGTTCATTTTTGTCGCCGAAATCGAAAATCCGAGGCGCGCGGGAACGTCCTTAAAGCCGCGCTTAAAGCCGCGCGTCAAAGGCGAGACGCGCGAATGAATCCGCGATTTGCGAATATTCGCGCATGCGCGGAGAATCTTCCGCAATTATCCGCCGACGTCCGCGCCGATGACGAGCTCGGAATCTCTGAGAAAGTTTTCATACGTCAAGCCCGTGAAAAATTTATTATCCCTTTCAGATGGCGCGTCCAAGTTTCCGCTGAAGCGTCTTACGTCTCCGAATGCATACGTGTCACTTCCCCCAACCCCCCTCTCTCTCCCTCTCCTTTCTTTCTTCGTCTCTTTTCTCTTATTTCTCAGGCGGAGAATGACATCGATCATTCCAATCTCGAGTTACCGATGTAACGGGGTAATGTATTACGCTGGAAAGCGTCAGTTACTTCATTAATGAGCGAACGAAGGCTCTTGCGCCGGGTATTTATGGACGCTGAAAGCTTGTCCGATTCAGGAAGGAATATTTAGCGGCGCAGAGACAGTTACGATCGATTATACGCGCGCCGTTTCGTCTTGCTGCATTCGCGATTCGCGGGCTCTCCCGTGCGATCGCGCTCATGCGTGAATACAGAATCGCTTAATTTCCAAGCGCGCTGGAACACATCGCGGAAGGCACGGGGGGCGCATGTAGGCAGGTAGGCAGGCAGGTAGGTAGGCAGGAACGCACGACGTGGCCCATCTATCGCGACAGCGCGCGTAATAACGCCGCTCGGCCGAGTTTCTATTAATTCGCCGGGACACTTTATTCCACCGGGATCGATTCATTTCCGAACGCTGTTCCGCCCTCCCCTCTTCTTCGCTCTTTCCAGCCGGACTCGTATCGACCCGAGGTAGATGCATATATTAATAACCGCGCGGAAACATATGTCTCCTTTCAGCGCGAGGCTGCGGCTATTAATTCGATCGGAAGTGTCGATGAGAAGCGGCGGCCGCCGGTCGCCGGCGGATTGACACACACGCGCGAACGCCGTCGCTTATCGCGTGTTAATTAAGATATCCGTGAACGTGCATCAATATTTAAACACGCCGGGAGCGTGTGAAGCGCGCGCGAGGAATCGGAAAACGACGCGCGCGTCCACAGCGATTCTCTCGCTCGTTCGCTCGCTCGATCGCGCCCGTCGTCTGTTCGGTTTCTCTGCTGAGGTAATCCCGTTAAGAGTCATTAGCTCGTCGTTACTCTTCACACTCGCGTAATTCACGCGCGACCGTCTTCTCCACTTATTAACTATTTACAGGCGAGCGAGAGGGGGGAGGGGAGAGGGTACGCGCGAGGAAAGGAAAGAGATACAACGTCGCGATATAATCGCTGCCCCGTTAACGCAAATCATTAGTTTAATCATTTATCGTGGATTAAACCGCGTCCCGTTACGCAGTAATTATACTACCCATACGCGCGCATGCGTACACGCGAGTTTCAACTGTAGCGATTGTGATTTAAACGCCCGGATTCGTTTCGACTGTATCGCTCGCGGATCTCTAATTTTCTCCGCGACTCGCGCCTACTTCCTGCTTCTCCCGGCGTTTCTCTTTTTTTTGCTTCTTTTTTTTGCTTCCTCGCCCCCTCCCCCCTCAGGGGGGAGGGTCTCCATCCTCGGCGGGAATCGCTTAATACCGAAAGCGCGACGGAAGAGGATAGAGAGGATAGAGAGATAGGAGAGGAGAGGAGGGGAAGAGAGAGAGAGAGAGAGAGAGAAGAGGGAGAGAGAAGAGACGCGTACGTTCCGCTTTATCAGCGCATACGGCATGCCGCAGCGTGTTTCCATTAATTCGCGTCGCGGGGCGAACTCGTGCCGTTGGAATGCCCGTTGAAGCTGAGGAGAGAAGTCGTTAGGCTGCGTGCCGTTCGTTCGACCGGCAACCGGTTTTCCCATCGGTGATTCGTCGTTAATTCGCCGGCGGAGAGTAAGTAATCGCGCGCGCGTCGCAACGACCACCTCGGGTGTGTTACACGGCTGCGTTTACACCGCGCCAACCACACCGGGGATCGCCCCGGTGTTCTCCTTTTCGCGCCCGGCGCGCTCTGACCGGGGGAAGTTTTCGACCCGGGAAGTCCGTCGATAATGCACGCGAACGACGACATCTCGGCCGTTCACTTTGAGAACGGCAACGTCCGGGCTGTGTGTCCGAGTGTGAGTGTGTATCGATGAAACGGCTAATCGGCAGCGTTTCGCCCGAGAATGCTCCGCGATGTTCACTTCTTATGCAGATTTCGTTAGGTGGTGTGCCGTAATCTTTGTTTATTCGTGGACGAATTTATTATTAAAGTTCGAAGGACAACAATTGGATTTTCACGTGACGCAAATATGACATCCGTCAGTCATGTGGTATTTTCTGTTTTTTTTTATCGTGCAATGTTTGTTCATAGTATTGTTCGTTATATCTTTCGTCGATAATGCTCGAGTTAAAGAAGGTAAATTGAACGTATCTAAAAGTACACTCGTTTGCAAAACGGTTTCGACATATTTCTTTCCGGTGGAATTTGGAGCGCATCAAATGGCCACAAATACGCGCCACTGCATAGGAACTTGCGCGGTATTTGGTTATAACAATCATCGAAATGACAGTGCAAAATGTAAATATTGATCTTTTATTATATGATGGGTAAGAATATAATAAAGATACTTGCGTTTACTTTGAATCTTCCGTTGCAGTAATGAATTACCATAAAGACATATAAAGTAGTAACTCGCATAATCAGAGATGAATTTATAAAAATAAAAAAAAAAACAATTTGATCTTAAAGTGACCTAGATATATGACATTTCTCAATTATACGACGACGTTACTTTTCTTTTTTTCGACATTTTTGGAATTCTGAAGTGAATGTTTTTCTCACAGTATTGTTCATTTGTATCTTTGCTAACACGTTCGAATTAAAGAAGAAACATTGAAAATATGTGAACGTGTAAGCAATCTTAACCATTTCGTGCGCCTCCAACATCATCAGAGAAAATGTGTTCAAACCGTTTTGAAACCCGTTTTGAAAATGAGTGTACATCAGTATCTCTGAAGAGGTCGAACGCCGTTGCGTATCTATTATGTAATGTGTTATATCTATCCGCGTGACGACACGTGACGCATACGTTAAGAAAAAAATCACAGAATAGACCTGCTGAATTAATCGCAAAGTTATAAGAGAGAGAGAATATCTCTCCTTCCACGACGAGACGTTCGAATTTTCCATCGCTCTCCATCGCTTCCACATGCAAAATCGCACGCTGCGCGTTTTACGCAACGCGCCGAAATGCAATTGATCGACTTACCGAGGAAGTACGCCAGCATAGAACTGGAAGCTCTTTCTGAAACAAACAAACATACGTCGTTCGCGTGAATTGTTTCGCTTTGCAAAAGTGGGATTCGCAACGGGGTGCCCCGGGAAATGATCCAAGAGACGAAAACAATTTAACGCGGTACGATTTCGCGCGGTGCACGCCGCCCACACACGACACACATAAGGATTAGAGGATACGAGAGAGAGAGAGAGAGAGAGAGAGAGTTGCTCACGATAGCGATGCAAAATCTTGAGAACGAGATTCCCGATCCGCTTCGTACAGCGAGAACGTAATATATCGACCCTGAGCACGCTCTACACAATCTTGGATGCGCGGTCATCGCACTATAAAGTGAAACAAAGTGGAAAGTTCGGACAAACTTACATTTACATCAGCTCCGTGGGAGACTAACCAAGAAGCGGACTCGGGTACACAAATTTTATATATATACATACTTGAAATTATAAATATTAATTTTGTGTTAATTTTTCACATAATGTCTATGTTACTTTTTAACACATTCATCTTGTATTAAATTAACATACAAATTTGTACGGATCGTTTGGGACGTATGAAATGTGTTGAATTTAACATGAACATCTTTACTGTGAATCGGTACAGTTACAGCACCATCTTTCAGTCTTGGTCCACTGCTGTCATCCCAAAATTCCACCGGTATCAAATCGGCATCGGCGTCCATTACTGTTCACCAAAAATCGGCGCCTCGCCAGTATCTCGCAAATATTCCCTACATGCGGTAATGCAGCATACATTGATTCACAGTAAAGATGTTCATGTTAAATTCAACACATTTCATACGTCCCAAACGATCCGTACAAATTTGTATGTTAATTTAATACAAGATGAATGTGTTAAAAAGTAACATAGACATTATGTGAAAAATTAACACAAAATTAATATTTATAATTTCAAGTATGTATATATATAAAATTTGTGTACCCGAGTCCGTTTAGCGTGTCGCGCAGAACGAGACGAGAAATTCCGATCGTGCTCATTATCACCGTGTGTGCGACCGGTGTGTGAAAGAGGGTGAGAACTGAACCCGGTCCTCGGGCCGCGCGAGTCAACCCCCTTCGCGAGTCCTCCGCGCGAGAACGTGAGAACGCGAGTTATCGCGACGCGGCTTGTTACTACCCCTGGGAATTTTACGATAGCTCGGGGACTTAAACGCACGTTCACACTTTGTGTTCCGCGTAAGTGTCCGGACACCGAGGCGTACTTACTTACCGGCTTGCTTACTTACGTAGAAGCGATCCGCGCACACGCATACACACGCACACACACAAACGTGAACGGCTCTCTGCGCGCGAGCAAATCGCCCAGACGAGGCGAGAGAAAGACACTCGCATTACGTGCACGCACGCGCGCGACGTGCCAGCCGTGTTATTATATTTTACTTTAGTCGACGCGGAAACCCCGGGATAATTTGCGCGAACGAGCCGCAATTATTTAAGGGTGTGCATACGTAACGAGGGTGGCTGCCTCCCTCTCTCTCTCTCTCACTCTTCAACGGCCAGCGGCTGCTATAGGGCCCCGCGTTTCGCTCGAGCGCCGGACGCGCGGCCTCTATCGATTCGTGTCGCCATCGCCACGTCGACGTCGACGAAGCCGCGAACTCGTAACTTCTTCCGAGAATTGCTACCTTTCTTTAAGTAATAGATATGCACGTCGACACGGAGCGATGCTCGGCCGATGTTTGCTCTTCGCCCTGAGGAAACGCTCACCATTTCGCGTCGCGAGGGCAGAAATTCGAGCGCCGCCGCCGCCCGCAATGCCGATGTAATTCCGGGACGAGATCGAAGAGCGCGATTCGGAGATCGCGTGTAAGATCGTCTGTGCGAAAGTTGGTTGTCGGGCCGAGAGTGATACGAGGTCTCCTCGGCGAAAGAAGATGGACGGACGGACGGACGAGGAGTATTACGTTGTAACAATTATTTATATACAATTACGCGGAGTTACAGTCGCGAGGTGTAACTCGGTGCGAAAGCGCCTTCCAAGTCTATCGAGCAGGCGACATTATCGAGGAAGGGGATGATAATGGTTGGGTTGATTCGAGGGGTTAATTATGATCCCTCGCTCGCTATCACTGTTATATCCCATTATTATGAAGGGTCTCTTGCATTAAATTTTACTACGAGAGAAAAAAAAAGAGAGAAGCTATTAGGCTATTAAGATAAAAACCGTGTTCCCCCCTTTTCGCTCAGGGTCTGTAATTTTTTTTCTTCTTCCTCCACTTCGGCAGTTCCATTTTTATTTATAACCGAGACACGAGGCGAATCGAGCGTGTCATCGTGCCGAAGTCCTAGGGTTTGTACATTTAAGTCGTTGTTCCTCGGTTGTTTGTCAGACATCAAAAGTACCGACGGCGCGACTTTCACGCGACCGTCGAAGATGGCACGAGAGCACACCACGGCCGGGGGGCGAATCTCTAATCTGAAAGCTAAATTAAACGTTGACACGCTCGCGAGACGTAACTCTGTCGCGAGCGAGCTCTGCGCGCCATTTCCCGGTGCATCCTTAAATCGTGAGATTTCCAATCTTCTCTCTCTCTCTCGGTTCTACAAAAATACACCAACTCGTCCGACTTATTTCGGGGAATCGACTAATAAACTCAGCGGTGGCGGCCGACCGCCGAACACACGTAACTATTCCGAGCTAATGTTCGCACGCGGCTCCTAATCGTCGCACGTACGCCGGCTGGTCGGGTGTCCGTCGCCCTCGTGGTGTTTACCTCCACACACACGCATACACACACATTCAGACATCGTAGAAACAAACGTACACGCGGAAACCCCGTTACATGTGGCGGTGAGAGTGCAGCGAGGCACTAACGTCGAGAGGGGGATGTCGAGGATGGTTGGAGTGGCTCGGGGGGTGATTATGAGCGAATAAGTGCCGCCGTCCAGTTTTTACCCTCCCCCGCCGCCGCCCCCGCCACCTACGGCTGACCGTTCCTCCACCATAGCGGCGGCAACCGTCGCTCCCCCCGTTGCCACCCTCTCTCTCTCTCTCTCTCTCTAGTCGCTAGTTCTCTTACCACCGACTCGACTAAACCCCCAACGGATCAATACGCTAAAACATTGCCACGTCGAGACGCCGCGCGCCGTGTAAAACCCGAAAGAAATACCGTTGCGGGGGCGGTTTCTCTTAGCCAGCGGCCGGTCTCCTCCGTCCGCGCGGCTAACGAACTTCCGCTTTTCGACCCTTTCACCGCCCGACCTCATCCCCTTCCCGCCTGTCTTATCCCTCGGCCTTTTTCGCCCTCGCGCTGCTCGTCCGCCTTCATCTTATCTTGACTTAGCGTACCTTTGTTTGGTCGGTAACCAAAATTTACGCAACGTGGATCTCTCATTAAGCAAGATATAAGGGGATCTCGCGTGAGATTCCAGTGTTGTTTCTTCATAGAATTAGGCGGTTGGGAATTTATCTTGTTTACCTTCAGATTGAAGAGGTTTTTCAGGATATCGAATGGGTATCGCTGACAAGGACCGCAGGAATGCCGTTTCGTCAGCTGCCGATGACCATTTGTTAAAACTTTTAATTCTTCCGAGTCGCTCGAGTAAACAAGCGCATACAGCGTCTCATTCCAATTGTAAGTAAACGTCTTTATCATCGAACACGTACCGTATGTCGATTCAAAACATTCCCGGGAGAAACTTAAGAGAAAGATCGAGGAAAATCTTATCGAGAAAAGGGACAATGCAAATTCTCGAATAAGAACGCGTACCGGGAATCAATTAACCCAGAGAGTTGTCTGACGCGCCCGAGTCGACGCGACGTGCAGCGCGATATTTCACTTTCGACACGCAGTCATAGGCTCGCTCTGTCCAGGATAGGAAGAAGCTCGCTATCGATGGCGGACTTTTGAAGGGCACGAAAGACGGATGAACGGATGTCCGTGGCCTACCGCAACCCACGTAAGGCACCGCGTCCGTTTTCGCCCTTTGGCATCCCCCCTCCTCACCAACGTACACACATTTACACATACACACACGCGCGCACGTTACGTACGTTCCACTCTCACGTGTGTTCGACATAACGTCGGGTTTCCGTGGATGGTCGATATATCGATTGTCGTCGACGAACGACCGGCTGGTCGACAACCACGAGAGAAAGAGAGAGAGAGAGAGAGAGAGGCAGTTAGAGAAGCGAAGGGAAAGGAAAGGGGAGAGTAAAAGCGCTCACGGCTGTTGTTCGTGTATGTCTGCCCTGTGGTCACTTGTTGCCTGCCACCCCCGGGGGTTGGCCTTGTCCCTCTGTGTTTGGGGAACGCTTGTCGTTCGACCGCCGACAAACCGCTCGACGACCAAAGCATGCTCCGAGATCTTTTTCCTCCGGTGGATTCGGTCGACGACTCCGCCGATAGGCGAATTTCCGATCTCTCCCCTTTGTTTTTCCGTCCGACGCGCGCTCGTGAGCGCCGCGAGGGTGCGAGCAGCCTCTTCCAAGAGCCGGTCGGTTTGGCGTTCGCTAACCACGCGAATTTTCGGATTCGAAGAGACGTGAATCGCGACAAGGAGGTTCGTTTGTTGTTGCGCGATGTCGAAGTTTATTTTCGAAGTAAAGCGAGAGGGCAAAGCTGTGTCCGAGACCTTACACGGGCGAGCGTGGTGTTGCGCGAAGCGCAGGGATATTCTGATGATGTATCTGAGACGCGGGAATATTTCACAATAATTTCTCTCTCAAAGTAGAGGGAGATATTGTTCGTGACGACATTAACGTCCCAGTATTCCGAGTTTCGATAATACTTTGACGCTCTTAAGGATTTTTAATTCGCATCTATTCGGATAGCTCTTACAGACTAATAGGAATTACCTACTTTAACGATACTCTGACATTTATTAATTAATATTAATTATATTAACTGATTAATATTGCAACATAATCTTGTAAGAAACATTATTTCATGTCGTTGGATAAAGCCGTGTTATTTGATTAAAAAAGCACCATTGTTTCATAGTTTTGGTGTTGTTCAAATTAATTTGTTATTTAGATTAAATGTACGG